TCGTGAGCCAGTCTTGGCCAGGAGGTCGGTAGTAAAGATCTCCCACATGATTGGCATCACTACGACCGCCCAGTCTCTGCTGAGTAGCGACATGGTCTTTCGGTCCTGGAGCGCGGGTAGGTATCGCACCACTGCGCATTTCAGCTCCGCGGGCAGTCGGCCAATATGATCTGTCGCCATGTCGGCAGAGTTTGCAGACTACAATAGGGTAGAACAAGCAAATCTGAAAATCTGGTGTCGATGTAGGCTCCAGGGTGTTCGCATTATGCTTTGATCAATGTGTCGGTGGGCGCCGGTACCTAGGTAATCTGGGTGGACCGCGAGGTGTCCGCGATGTTTTGGGCTATCGAAAGTATGTAACCGTGAGGGCGAGGGCGAGGGCGGTTGAGCGACCAAGGGTAATGCCAAGGCTCGGTAGTGCGATATCACCGTGAGAGCGGTGTTGTGGCTTTCACTATCCCAAGGTGAAAGGGCTTGACGCGCAGTAGCGCGCTCCAGGCGTAAGCACGGTGCCGGGGGAGTAGCCGCCCAGCCATTGTCTTGTAGGTGTCTATCACATGTAGTTTTGCAAAAAAAGAAATGGCTGCTGCCCGTAGCTGTGTCTTCCCCACGAGCTCAGGGTTAAAGAGAATGGACAGGAAAAAAAAGGCAAAAAGAAAATCGTGAAAGCTCTCCAACTGGGAATTGAACCCAGGTCTCCCGCGCAATTGTCAAGAGCCAGAAGGCCGAGATGACAAGCGGAAATACTGACCACTATACTATTGAAGATTGTTGTTTCGATGAAAGAACATACCTTTAAGCCGGACATATTACCGTCATGCGACGCGAGCGAGGTAGCACGCCTCCACTTCGACAGCGCAGTTGGAAGGTGGTGACTAACGAAAGATTGCAATGAGAACTTTTGGACTGTGGGGTCGAGATTGTGGCGGAACAGATTACAGGTGGGGCTATCCAACTCTTCCTAGAATCGCAGGAGCGATTGCTCAATGCAAGGATGTGTCGATTCAAGAGCTTACTTATCGGCGAAGGGTGTGCAGCACATCGTAAGTAGTATCTTAAAAGAGGTCGACACTGTAGCCTGATCTTATCATGAACGTTTCATGCTTGATGAGGAGGACAATAGACTACACGATCTTTTATTAGCGGACTATGCGTCCAAGCTGGCAGATCTCGTCGCAAATGCGAAAGAATGAGCTGTGATCTGCATGACCATGACTATTATCGGTACGAGGATTATGCGCGAACGTCTACAGACTTATTTAGCATGAGCTTAGAAGATTAGGAGATTCTCAGATCATGGACTGATCGTGCCCTGTGATACCTACCCCGGGTCTTAGTATATTGGAAAGTGTTCGCTTTATCTTAATGTAGGGAGACTAGAGGAATTGAAGTACTTGTAAGTAGCGCTCACGAAGAACCTTTGGTGGGAGAAGTGAGGTTGCGAGATGACGATCTTCCTGTCTTAGGTAATCTGGCACTTAGCATCCTGGGCTGCTCGCGCGCTCAGCCATCTCTCACACCCTTGCTCAACCTACCTAGGTACTTTACACTTACACGCATCCTACACGCCGATTTCTGCGCACCGTGGTGTACACGCTGCGCGAACAATATGCACCATATCCTACGCGCAACACAACCACCAGAATCCTTATCGCGCATCACGACATTTGAGCATCATCACGACACCATTCGTCTAACCCTGGAATGGGCTGGGTACCCACGCGCAGAACGCCATAATGAAGACATGCATCCTACGAGGATGCTGGAGAAGACTTGCAGCAACATAGCTTGCGGGTGGCGTATCATTGCAGCTTGTACTGGTGAAAGTTAATGTTGCATCGCAGTACAACCTCGGAAGCCTCGGCCCCTCTACTCGTCCTTCGCAGTCCGATGACCCCCAACCACGTAGATCACTTGCGCCTCACGATCCGCAATACATACAAGGAAGAATAGAGGAGCAAGCGTAAGGCTTTCAGAGCACGGCCTGGTGTTGCGTCAATGACTTGCCTGATGCTTCATCGATTGCGCTTGGTTACGAAACGTCGGCATCGTACTGAGAACACATGCAAGTATGTCAAGGGAGTATACACGGTCTGGGACGTGCGACACACGTGTCGTTCAGTCTGTGTTCCTCTTGATTGTGCGTTCAAAGGTTTGTCAGCTTGCTGCGATGACACCAAACCTCCTATGAGCTGTATAAAGCGGTTACAATTACCTAGCAATGGTGGCCTCTTCCTATATTTCTCAGTCGACGTACAATTTCCCTAGTAGGCAACGTTACCCGAAAATCAGACAACAGCGCAGACCTATACATCATGTTAGAAAGTATACAATTATTAACAAATCATAGTGTTTATGTAGCAACACGCGACACAGGTTCGAGAGTTCGTGTGCTGCTGGACGTCGCAGCTCTGCAAAAGCTTTTCATTATTAGTAAACTTGGAAGTGAACGCTGGGTGCACGGTCCCCGGTTGCTTCTGCCTACGAATACCACGAGCTCCTGCCTGCAACTTTACCCACCCACCTGAGCACTACCAGCAATGAACTACGTTGAGAATCCTCAACTGCTACCGAATATGGCCTGCGCACCCAACTTCGCGAGTCTTCCCAACGAACTGAAGATAAGCATCTTCTCTTACATCAGATTAAAAGAGGAACAGGCAGCTGTTTGTCTTGTGAGCCGCGAGTGCAAAGAGATCATGGCGCCCCAATTGTGGTTTTCGCTCGACCTAACACCCACGACGATGTCAACCGCGAAGACAATGGCCCTTTTAGATCCGGACAACCGTATACTTCACCACGTCCGTCGAATTTTAGTTTACCACGGCCCACGAGATTCGCTCCGATGTCACTCTCAGGAGTTCGAGTCTGCGATCCAACTCATCATAACTGCATTACCGAGAGACACTCTACTTTCTTTCTGTACGTCAATGAATTTTGATCCCGGGTTTTTGCTCAACCTACTCCGCCATCAGAGGACACTTGATCGTCTCGAGATACCTACAGGATTATCAGACCGGAACCCAATGATCGATCTCCAAGTTTCTACGCATGCGTCCTGGGTTTCCGCTGCGCTGCGCGAATTGAGGAGGCTACAGGTACACGTTGGCTCGGTGGATTGCGCTCACGAAAACTGTGCATACTTGCTAAGGAACTCTCCGAAGCTTCGTCAACTCAGCATCATGCCCGAAGAACCTCTAGTACTTACTAGAAGTTACCACGAAGCTTCTCTCGGTAGTTCGAAGGGATGCGACGCTTTTGGTGGACCATTTGCAGACGGTGTTGTTGTGCAGCCATTGCAGCTAACACACTTGCAATTACGAGTCGATTTGAAGCTGCCTCGGCCCGAAACTATACTCGCATACATCAATTTCTCTGGACTTCGATCGCTCTCAATCGACGCTTGTGGTCACGTAGGGCCATTTCTTGCAGCGCTTGCGGCCCAGTTTTCTCAAATCTGTAATCTGATCGGGTTAGAGATCGTATTGCGAGGCTTCGAGATCACCCCAGATGAAGACGTTCGACTAATTGAAGATGTGCTAATGTCCTGTTCGAGTCTTCAACGCCTCTGGATAAGCACAGGACGGGCCAGAACGGTGAATACCTCATACATCGTTCGACATGGTAGCACATTACGAGAGCTCGGTCTGAGCTTTAATCCGGAAGGCTCGACATACTATTCTGCACAAGATCTGTCTCTTATCTTGTCATCCGCTCCGTACCTAGAGCAACTAGCTGTACACATATCTCCAATCGAGATGGGCAGTTCACAATCTCTCGGCACGGATTTTACGCTCGCAATACCGAGCTCTTATAATGTACCTAATGCCTTGGAAGCATTCTTGGTAAGTCCTCGAAGCCCAGGATCGGTATCGAACAATCTGATAACCAGCGACAGGCTTGTATTGCGCGCCATCCAACACTCCGAAATTTGCGCATGATTTCGCTGCCGAATATCGACTACGGCCTTTCACCAAACCCTACTTTCCAGAATCGAATTAGCATAACTGACGAACTCGTGCCTAGCGCAGCTATGACCATGCAGTCGCTTGCTACAGCCGTTGTCCGTTTCCTCGACAAGCTTGGCTCGGGTATAACATTGTTCGGGGTTTCCGCCGAGTACATGCCTATAGCCCGACCAAGGAAAGATACCAACGGCCATCTATGGCCCCGGTATTTCTATACCCGCGGTCGTACAATCGATGCAATGGGTGCAGGGAGAGTCGCGGCTGTTCCTCTGCCGGCTGCGGGTCTGCCCGAAGACTCGTGTTTTAGTCGGTCTTATGTGAAATAATCGGGCTTCGAAGCAGTCTGTCCGAGACTACGAAGAGTTGGTTGGATTGGCAGATAGTGCTTGAGATATCATAGTTGTAGGAATGATTTAGATATGCGTTACGCCTGAGGATCTTCGCGGATGCCTCGTTTGCAGGTTAGACATGTTTGGGAAGTCACCTTCGTCTTGGACACTCATGTTCATTGTTTGTAGGTTAGCCAGGGCAAGGCTTCTCGCATGCTTGCAGAGGTCGAGAGATAGATAAGAAGGCGGCACGCGGCTGTTAATCTGGCAAAGCAAGGAGGGCAAGAAGTACGAGGGTGCGATGCCTAAGTAACTAAGATCCTGCGCGTTCAAGACAATAATACGATTAGGTACCTATAGGTGGAAGGCTGGTGTCTAGTGTGTTGGAAATGGACATCTGATTCTTATCCAGCAGAACACCAACGATATACACTCGATCATCCTCTATCATGAGATTTGACTCTATTAGATACCCCTCCCGAGCGCGAAGACCACAAGAATAAATCCCAAGAGTCGTAAACACCTTCAATCCACTGAGACAAGTAGCAGGCGTCCCTCGTAGTCTGACATGGCGAAAACGATATGTCCTGGCGAGACAAACATCCTAATCTTGCATGATGCGGGCGCCTACATCTTCTCCGACGCCAGTGTTTAAGAGTCGGCTGCGCACATGAAGTCTCAAAACCATCGGCGGTCTCCGCGATTAGCAGCCCCAGCGAACATCTGCCAGTATAGTTAGTATAGTGTATGCGTCGTGAGGGCATGAGCTTACGGTTTGCAAACAGCTTGAACGAATCTGCGTTGTTCAGTGCCTTCCTGGAAGACAGCTTAACGGAAGGCCAGTAGTCATAAGCCCAGTCCTTGGTACCAGGGCTATACACCTCTGAAGAATGCGTCATCTCGTGCAGAAGTACAGTGCCCTGATCCTTGGCTGAACATTGCCCTTTCGCTACTGCCGGCAGGTCCCAGTAATCAGCGCAGAACGTGATGCCGAGACCAAGCCGGGCGTAGTATGCAAGATTACCGTTACAATTGCCGATACGGTCATGACAGTAGAGATTCAAGCTTGCACTAGGATTAGCGCATTCTTGCGCTATTGCGGTGTATCGGGCAGAAACCGCATCTTTCGTAGCTTGTGTTCGCGAGTGGAAGAAGGTTTCGAGATGGCGGTGGCCGGCTCGAGCTGCAGCTGCAGCTCCCAATGCTAGCTTTTGACAATTCTTTTGTGCCTCGGCGATTTGATCATTCATGAAAGCTATGAAGCCTGCGTCAGCGTTTGTGCGAGTCTGTGATGGAAAGGAGTACGTACGTCGGCAAAAGTAGGGATCGGCCCAACGTTCGGCTACTGGCTTGTGAGTAGCCGCTTCGGTACCGTTGACAGTGATGCTGAGCTTGTTGGAGGTGTATTCGAGATGGCCAACAAGCTCGGTCGAGTTGGTGTTGGCGTATTGCAGCATGCCGTTCGCGAACACATCAAAGCTTCCGCCGTTGCTGAGATCGTGTAGAGAGGCAGCTTCAATCGTCAACTCTTTCTTGGCTCCAGCTCCAAGAACAAGGAAGTCGTCCGTGGATAGGTTGTCGGTATCAAGGTGAACCCTGCTGATGCCTTCGAAAGGAACCTTGATAGCTGAATGTAGGTCAGTAATAGTTTGTCTTCAGTCGCGTTGGATTTGGTAGGTCTAAGTAGAACTTACAACTGTTGCTAGCGAACATCGAGATGCGCTCGACGGGTAGCTTCTCATCGAAGAGAGTGGCTGTCCTGAGAAGGTTCAAAGCCATATCGCCGTTGTTCGTCACTACGACCTTGACGGCGGAGTTACCCGCGGCAGAGAGCTGAACGCCAATCGCGTGGCAAAGATATTGATCAGGGAAACAGTCCACTACTTGCCCATTTAATGAGTAGGAGTTATAAAGAGCGTCTAGCCGCATAGTTAGCACAGTCTATACGGTGTGGGTACATGAGCTTACCCTGTGCGAACAACACGAAAGAATCTGCATTGTCCAGCGCCGCCTCGGTCGTCTTTACTCGCTCCGTCGTGTTATGGAAGCCATATTCCAAATCGTGCGTGCCAGGATGATATATCACAGGACTGTGCGTTAACTCGTGTAGAATCACGGTGCCCCGGTCCCCGCCTTGACCTGTCGGCTTCGGGTTCACTAGCGGCATGCCATAGAAGGATTGGCAGAACGTCACGCCGAAGTCGTCCTCACTTGTATAGAATGCCACTTCACCGGGCTTACACTGGTCGGGTTCGCAAGAACAGTGGTAACCCAAGCGTGGCTTGGTGCATTCCTTTGCTATTGCGTGGAAACGGGAAGCAACCTTCGCCCTGATGTCTGACGAATCAGAGTGGAAGTAGGCCGGGAACCTGGAGTCTTCATATGCGGCTTTGGCAGCGCGCAATGCTAGTTTCACGCACTGGCCTTGTGCCGTTTGAATCTGTGCGCGCTGGAAATCTAAGAAGCCCAAGTCAGCGTTTGCGCGGATCTATGATGGTATGATGAAGGGAGGAGTACGTACCGCTGCATTGGTCCTCGATATAGCGCTCGGCTACTGGCTTGGGAGCAGCCGCTTCGGTGCCGACTGGCGCGGCATGAATGTAGGTGGCCAAGAAAGCCAGGAAAGCCAGGAGATGAATAATAGACCACTTCATTTTCGAATGGAAAGCTGGTGGAAATGTTTGGAGAAGATTCGGAGTGAACTGTTTAGAGTTCTACTGGTGAAAGCGAGTCGTCTTATAATATTTCCGAATCAGCACATAAATCCTAGCGTAAGCGAGAAATGGATGGGGTTTCTGGTTGAGATTTATGCACATCAGCTGAAGCCAAAGCCCAAACTTACTTGCTCTCATGACGATTATCATTTGGAAATACCGACCAATCTCGTCAGCAATGTATGGATTGCAGGGAACGCAAATGGTTCGTCGCGCGTTGGTTGTTGCAGTACCGTGGAACGGAATTGAGGCTGGGAAGCAATCGAATCGCAATCATGGTGTTAGCACGCGACACGTTGTCAGCGTACGTATCGCCCTTGAGATGAATGACCGGTCCGACCCAGAACCAGACCGCAGTCTGAATCAAAGGCGCATTCTATGGCAAAGCTCGTCACCGAAGCGACCCGCAGACTACCCATGCGATAAGGCTGTGTCGTCTCTACCGAGCAGTTCGATGGGCCCGAGGTAGCGCAGATACGAGGATGAGGTTGAGTCGGTAGAGACCAACGTTGAGAAGTGGAGAAGGCGTGGGTGGATATCTTGTTGAGCGAAAGGGCGAGGGTCGGCGCTTGCCGTGGCGGGCTGATGTATCGAACAACACCTAAAGGTAACAGCAACCCACTCTCCCCCTTCTACCAAGCTTCTCTACCCATTACTTTGTCTGGGAACTGCCACACAGCGCCTTCCTTCGTATTTGGTATTCATCCGTCTCAAGTGCCCGCTACCCCTAGTGGGGCGTATTCCCATCGTTCGCCGGCTGTACCCAACGGGGACCTCGTCAAGGAGAAATCGTCGGTGCCAAAGCCTCCTGCCAAAGTTCTGAGGACGACCGTGAGCTTGGCCATAACGGCAACACTCTATCCCCCTCCAGACATCGGACTGGCAGCTGGACGAAAATACTTTGCTATCGAGCAAGGGTCTCAAGGTTGGTCGCCCTTGATCTTCTCACTCTTATCATAATCCTCTCTGACCTCCCCCAAATGTCGTTCTGCACATCTGCGATGTCCCAGAGGCGACCCAGAAAAGACGAGCCAACCACACTTCCCGCATTTCATATGACTCTGACTCTGACGCGAGGAGATAGTCTACGAAAGAGAGAAGTATCGCATCTCCAACAAACTCTGTGTAGTCTCTCTTTGGACAGCCCCGCCGACGACCACGGTACTGCGGTGATGCACCAGACCAGTAGCACTCTAGCGAACAATTTCAAAGCTATCGCAATTATACCGTATACCAAAGTACCATCTTGATGACCTGCCCGAAGGACTAGACCGCAGTCCGAGTAAATGCGCACTCTCTGTTGATTCCCCCTCTTGATCAACGAGTTAGATCAAAAGGACTGGATGGAGAGGTTCAAACATGAACAAGTACACCATCTGCAATCAAGCTCCGTCGGGTAACCATAAAGGCCAGTGGGTAACTACAAAGGCCAGTACGGAGCGCAAGTCGCGCCTCCCATCCCCTCTTCTAACATCGTCGGCTGGGCGGACTAGTCGTCACTCATGAGTAGCAGGGGAATTCACCCAAGAACCAAACCCGAATAAATATCCACGTTCACTACGAGCCTGTCCGTGTCGCACACAATAATGTCGTCAATCTCCTTCCACCTGTAGAATGGCAGAGAGCACGTTGTGGTTGCGGTAGAATGGGAAGAAAGCAGAGAGCTGCATCCAGCGGGCGCAAAGCTTCATGTTCGTGTTTGCGTTGAACGCAGTATATTATACTTGCGATTTCTCTCAATCGTGAGAATATGTCGTGTGTGTTGCGGGAGTCGTGAGTGGCTCGTTTCGCTCTGCATCATCGCGGTACCATAGAATGAAGTGAACGACAACCAAGAGATGGAATCGCACTATATTTTTCCCGCCTTGTAAGAATGCAGCACGATTAGTACCTGATGAAGGCTTCGAAGCGATACCTAAACCTAAATGGAACAGTCGTATTAGAAGACTACGTTGTCTTGAGTAGCATACGTTTATCAGATTATAATACAGTGTATTCAGCAACGCGATACATGGCAAGTGGAAGCGGCAATCTCTCTGAAGACCACCAGGGTGCAGTATATTCAGGGCACGGCCTAATCAGGACTAGCGTCTCTATAAACGACCCACTCACCCTACTGGAAAGAGCAAGCTCACCTGAACTGATTTACACTCCACCCTATCATCTACACTCGGCGCTTCTATCCTCTCGCGCCGGCAGCTCTGGCGTCATGGCTACGTTTTCGGACCTCCCGACTGAGATGAAGACGGCCGTCTTTGCTTACATCCGTCCAAACCGTCACAGAAGAGCGGTTTGCCTGGTAAGCCGCGAATTCAGAGATGTGATGGGCCCGCTGCTCTGGAAAACTCTCAGGTTGAGAGCAGCTACTACCTTGCCAGGAGACCTGGCTTCTTTGCTGAGCGCAGACAACGGAGTGCTTGCCCACGTGCGCTTCATTGACATCGACACCGAAATGAAGGGAAATGTGGAATTCGACCCAAATTCCGAATTTGGACTTGTCGTCAGACTCATTATCGGCGCTCTCACAAAGAACTGTCTTACGGGTATCAGTATCGGCATCAGGATCAAGATGTCTATCGTGCTCAGTCTTCTGCAAAACCAGCATTCGCTCGAAGTACTTGGGCTTCGAAGTATCATTCCCGATGAAGGCGCCGCTCTCAATATGAGTCTTGCATCACATGGTTCTTGGATTACACCCATACTCGGCGACATCCGGAGGCTCCGAATTCCCCTCTCCGTTCAGGATCCCCACGCATACGAGAATAGCGCCTACCTTCTCAAGAGCACACCAAACCTACGGTCATTATGCCTCAAAGGCGCAAGTAAGGCTGCCTCACTTCTGGACGACTTGCATGAGCACGATGTTTTCGGAGGGCCGTATACTGAGGAGGCAGCTATATCGACTCCACAGCTGCGTACCCTTCACCTACTATGGCTAGAGTTCAGGCCATACCCCGCATCTCTTTTTAAATGCATCAACTTCTCTAATATTCGCATCCTCTATATCACCCAATGCCGCAATACCGAAGCCTTCCTCACTGCTCTCGTCGCAACAGTCCCGCAAGCCACCGCGCTGAGAGAGTTAGAGATATCACTGAGACGTAAGGGGGTACCGCTAGACAGGGACACACGAGCAATTGAGGCCCTGGTGTCTTCCGCTCCCTCACTGGTGAAGGTGTGGTTAGATGTGGGCAGGGGGCGTGCGGTTGACGTATCGTGTTTGAGTGGACAAAGCAAGTCCTTGCGTCAGCTGACTCTGGCGGCTTCATCCAAATTGCAACCACCAGCCCACTACACCGTCTCCGACCTTGCTAAAATACTCGCTCAGGCGCCTGATTTAGAAAAGCTGGCAGTCAACCTCTGTCCGGTCAGTCTTGGTCCTGTACAGTACCTAGCTGCCAAGTTCAAGTTGCCTGCGCAAGCTGGTGAAGAACACGGTGAGCTGACGTCTTATCTGGTATGTATTCACCCCTGGGTAGAGAATCATTGCTCACCAAAGAATTAGGACTGTATCGCGAGACACCGAAGTCTCAAATCACTGCGCATACTCACAGTTCCCTACATCGATTGTGGGATAGTGCCAAATCCAAGTTTCCAGGACCGTGTCACTCTTACGGAAGAATATGTTCACACCTCGCAGGTGATGATGCAAAAATTCGCGAAGGAAGTCTTTCGCTACCTCGCCCAACATGGATCCAAACTCAGAACCTTGGTCGTCTCACCTGACGGTTTGGACGGCATGGAACGGCCTAGCTTCGACGACGATGGCCACCGATGGCCGCGATACTTCTACTCATATGGATCAGTCTGGAGTATACGTGGAGAGCACGTTGTAGCCGTTCCGGTACATATGACGGATGTTGAATTCTGCGATCGCGCCACCAGATAAGCGGTCAAGGACAGATGTCGTTGCCATATAGCCATGCAGATTCAAGGTATGCAAAAAGCTCGGAACGCTGTCAAAGTATCAGCGATACTTGCTGGGGGTGTAGTCTATGGGAGCGATAAGAGACTGGAATGAACTTGATACCTAAGCCGAATTGACCGCATACATGAGACAAGAAGCTCCTCAAACCACAGTACCATCAAACTAAATCCATATTCTCAAACTCCTCCACGAACATACATTGCCTCTCCTGCTTCTCAATCTTTCCCACAAGCTCGTATGCAGTCGCCACGCTGTCATCTGCCAAACCCAGAACTTCCTGCTCCTCCACTTTCATTTCACTGTCATCTGCCAACCCCTGAACTTCCTGTTCCTCCACTTTCATCCCGTTCTCACGCGCCAGACCCAGCACTTCCTGCTCCTCCACTTTCATTCCGTTCTTACGCGCCAACTTCCTCATCTCCTTCTCAAGCTTCTTAATCTCCCTCTCTGCCTTCTCCTTCATCCTCCTCGCCCTCGCCTTCTCCTTCCTCTCCTTCCTCCTCTGGTTGATAGCCTGCCTGGCCTGAACCCTCAGGTCACGACTCAGCTCTCTTCGCGGCAGTACCTTTACATCCTTCAGCGCAGCGCCTAGCCAACCACCCACGAAGTCTTCTCCCGCACCTCCCGTGACGAGTATCCCGTCCAGTCTCACCGGCGGAAAACTAACGCTCCGATCGAGTAACTCAGACGGGTACTCAGCTAAAGCAAGCTTTTTGAACCGCTGCGAGGCGCCGCGCACGCGTTGGTGAGGCTCTATCCTGGGACTCGGAGGAAACCAATGAAACTCCACTTCCACGCTCTTCTCCGCTAGTTGCTTGCTGAAATAGGGTATATCATCTACAAGCCATCTATCCTTGACCAAACCGAACGGATGGCCCATCCTCATACTCTTCAGGATACGTTGCACATCTGAGAAGACGAGCACGCGATCGATATGCTCGGTTATCGTGGGAGATGCGGCGACGCGGAGCGCTTCGCCGATGGATAGTAGGATGGCCTCGTTTGCGCTGGTGTAGTGTGCGACGGTGACTTGGGCGGTCCAGGCAGAAGTTGTGGGTGAGTTGTAACCGACTGCTATAGCGCAGGGTTCGTTGCGCAGGTCACCGCTGACGCTGCTGTTGATCCAGAGGACGAGGGTGCGTTCGGGATGCTGCGTGTGGATTGTGCGCGCAAAGTTCGTGGCTTGGGCTTTGGACTTGATGTGGATTGATGTCGCGTAAGTGTAATTGTCATCGCGTCGAGGCTTTGAAAGGAAGTGGTCGCGGAGAATGGTGTCGGGGATAGCTGCAGGAGCTGGGGATGTCATTTCAGTGTCCATGGCGCGAAAGTGCTGCCAGAAGTCGCTTTACTGAGGTACCAATGGCGGTGACTGACGACAGAGTCTTTGCGGAGGTTGCGAAGATGGTATGTCGGAAGCTCTGGGAAGGCAGTTACTCAAGGTGCTACTCAAGTAGGCTAGTGATAGAAGTGCAAGGCGCCACTCACATTCGAATGAATGGCTGGACCCTGGTTTACAATTCTACTGTGGGTCTACGGTACTCCGAGCAGAACTCATACGTCACCAGCAGCTAACACCAGAGCATTTGCCTTCTATATGAGTTGCGCGAGCCCTGAGTGGCTGGGCAGATTGTTCATTGTGGATCTCCACAGAAACACTAGATAGCAGAGGACCTGGGTAATACCCTTCAATAAACCAAGCACACACGAGTCAAGGACAAGTATTGTTGTGTTCTCGCTGATCTCGTGATGATCCGATTGCAATAACGTTGCGTTGTACTTTGGATGTCAAGAGGAAGTGTAGTATACATTGTGCCAAAAGCCCACCTCGCGCATATTCGATGCGACTTCTAAGCTCCATTGGTATACAGTGAACTTGCATTAAGCAATCCGGTTCACGGTGGGTGTAGGCAATTCCAGCAACACTGCAACACTGCATCTTGCATACCGCTAGCAAATACTTGAACTCTGATTCTATATAACAGCGTGCACAGATCCATGTACACCACATTTATCATTCTGCCATGCACATTTAAAGTTTGTAGTAGCTTACATCACAATGCTGGACAACATCCCGTGGCCTTCGCGCTTCGTGACACAGGGCCATTGCAGTGAACATAACAGCACACCATCATTGTCCTGCTTGCTGCTTTCTTTCTCATTCGCGTTCTTATTACAACTACAGACTTAAACAAGCCCACAAGTAAAGTATAGTCAAGAAGTTCTTATATGTATATATATCTGCTATAGTTGTCCCCAGAGTTTGTCTGCATAAACACTACATCACAAGAGCCTTCAATAGATACTTCTATACTATATTTACAACTTACAAGTCAAACACATCCTCAAGACTCTCCAATACATCTTAGCACACCTCCGCAGGACTGAACCCCCCCACAACCACATCCACATCCCCAACCAATCCCCCACCCCACCCCCCAAACATGTGCCAAATGGTCCTAGAAATCTGTCCCCTCTGCAAGTTCTGCGGTCCCTTGCACAAACCCTACATGAAGGTGAGTTCTGACCGTACGAAGTGCGTGTGAGACATATACTGACTTCGTACCTCTATCTCTGCAGGAAAGACACTGGCACGAACCCTGTGCAGCCGCAGCAACAGCGGGCCCTTGTCGCAACCCCCCCGAAGTGAACAGGCAGGGTAACAATGTATGCCGACGCTGCATCAACCTGGCTAAGGAGAAGAACAAGCAAGATGACAAGAAGAAGAAGGATGACGATAAGAAAAAGGACAAGGATAAGAGGGCGCAAGACAAGGTGGATAAGGCGGCGAGGATGAAGGCTTGGAGTAAGAGTAATAAGGCGGAGAAAGATGCTATTAAGCGCTCTGGTGGGTACTGAGGCGTGAGCGAGTGAAGTGAGGAGGGAGGAGGGAAGGGGATGGATAGGTCTTTGCGGGTTCAAAGACCGTTATGAAGAGAGTATGAGGACTGTGTACAGGCGGGTATCTGGACATCGTGCGCGTATGGGATTAGAAGGGGATATATCTTATGTAATCAAGGAGCGGTAGGGATTGGTTGTTATTCATGGTATTTATTCATTTAGCGATGTTATGGGCGGGGCGAATACCGGTGGTTGTCAGAACTGTTTTGTATAGTAGATTAGTAATGAGACATACATGTTGAGCGATTGTAGTACCTCTCACACTATACCAAGTCCGTGCAACAGGGTAAACCTTCAACGTCAAATAGCACAAACACCGAAACACCAGATGTGAGTCTTCATAATCTTCATTGCATGTCATAGCACGTATGCCTTCAGGCCCAGTCCTGTATACCACACCCCCAAGTATTCCCAGCTTTTGACTCCCGCTTCACATCGCCACGATGGAGATCTACAAATACAAAGCGGAGCAAATCAGACAAGATGCCGCCCCGAAAAACGCAATAGAGTCGTGCCCATAGGGCTAGTGGGGATAAAAAGACACAAAAGACGCTCGCCGTGCTGGAAGCTATGCACAAGACTGCAGAGATGGACGGAAAGGAAATGCTAATAAAGCGCAATGCCTTCGAGGCTGAGGTATGAGTTTGGATTGGCAGGTCCTCCCGCCCACTAAGCGGCAGGCTGGGCACCAAACTCAGCGCCGCCGCGACCTCTGGGTGCGCCACGGCCACGGTAGCCGAAGCCCCGACCGCGTCCGCGTCCACGGCCACGTCCTCGACCACCCCGGTAGCCGTCAACGCTGCCCTGGCCAAAGGTCTCCATGTTCTTCTGGCGCTCCTGGCTCCTGAACTCTTGACCACGGGTAGCAGCCTCTTCTCTGTCCTTCAGCTCGCTCGAGATGTTGTCGAAGAAGGAGCTCTTGTCGTACATGGATCCACCAGGGATGACGACTTCTTCCTTCTCCGTGGAAGCCTCGCCGGCAGGGACTGCTGGGGCATCGCCCATCGGCGATCCAGACGCGATGGCTTCCTTGACCAAGTCCTGCTTGTTGAACTTTGCGTTGGACGACTCAAAGTCAAAGTCGGTTGTGGGCACTTCCATCTTGGGGTGCTGAGGATGAGCACCACCTCGTCCTCCTCTTCCACCCCGACCACGGAACTCTCCTGTTCCTCGTTGACGAGGCTGGTGCTGGCGGCTTTGCTGTTCGCGCATGCCCTGCACCTGCTGTGCCAAGTTGTTCATGGGGTCTGAGACAGGCGGTTGACCCTGCGGTTGACCTGGTGCCTGACCCTTGTTCTGGAGGTTGAGCTTGGCCATGGCCTCAGCGACAGCAGCGGTTGCCAACTGAGTAGCGTTTTGTTGCTGGGCAGCGGTGGGCATTTGCGCAGGAGCAGCAGAGGGGCCGGCACTTTGTTGTGCTTGAGGCGCCGCCTTCGTCGCCCTTGGGCTTGGAATCGGTACAGCGGGAATGATTCGACCACCCTTGGGTCCGCTGGGCGCACCCTTCGCGGGTGGTTGGCCGTTCTGGGGGTGGGGTGGTGCCAACGCAGCCGATACATCTGGCTTCGAGTCGACTGGTGGCGGGGGAGCCTGCTTGCCTGCTGCAGCCGGTGATGCCTTCGCGCCGTTCTTAGGTTGTGGCTTGGATGATGCACCGTCTGCCTCTGCTACCTTCGGTTGCTGGACCTGACCCGGCTTCTCATCCTTACCTGCTTGAGGACCCTGAGGACCCCGTGGGCCTTGTGGAGGTTGGTTCTGGTTCAAGCCGGGAGGGCCAATGGGCATGTTCGGCGAGAAGGGACCAGGTGGTTGCTGGAAGCCATGACCGGGAGGGAACCAGCCAGGAGGCGCTCCGAATGGAGGCGGCGGCATGCCAAACGCGCCTGGTGGACCTCCAGGGAAAGGACCTGGGCCACCAGGACCACCAGGGAAACCACCTGGGGGACCGAATCTGTTTCCATATGCACCAGGGCCGCCAGGGCCACCGAACGGAGGGTATCCGCCAGGCGGGAATTGACCTGGCTGAGGGAAGTTCGGCGGTGGTTGTTGACGACCGGCGAGATCTTGTGGACTGCCCTCTTGCCGCGACTGGGGTTGTTGTACCTGTGGCGCATGCGTCGCGTCAGCTTTGGCTTCGTAAAGTATGTAGCAGAAGCAGGTTGGGTATAAGGATCTCAGAAGGAAGGCAACGGAAAATATCCACACGGTTTTGCGCTCTCGGTGGTTTAAATGATTTACATCCGAAAATTTTACATCATCGAAAAAGAAAAGAAAGGGTGGTTGTGTGGACTTACTCCGATGATGGCTGGGTCCTGCGGCATGGCAGGCTGAGCCTTCTCCTTGACAGGCTCTTCGATGCGCAGATCCTTCACATCGCTGCCCCGGAAGACAATTTGCTCGTATACGACGTCTGACGGCGGGTACTCGTCTTTGCCGCCCTTGCGGCCCTCTGTGCCGAAGGAGCGCACATTGTCTAATGAGACTGTGGAAGCTTCTGAGTTGATCTCGACGAGGGTACCGACATAGCTGGGGGCTGTTAGTCGCGTCGCGCAATGCAATCACGCGATGGAGGACTCACCGGATGTCACTCTTGGAGATGAGAGAAATGCGAGATCTACGCGTCCGACGTCAGCTGGAGCTCCAGCTCGAATTGGAGAGCTGCGACTAACCCGATGAACTCGGACATGGCTGTGTAACGTGGGTATCAAAACGGGTATCGAAGGAATTGAAGCTCAATGAACAAGAAAAGAAGGCGGGAAAGTGGTTGGGAAGGGTGCAAGTGGTTGGTGGAGGAATGAGGGGTGAGAGAAGGTTGGAGAGCTCCGTGGTCGTGGGCTGAAGCTGCAGAAACTTGGCGCACGTTTAGCGAGGCGTAGTCTGGAAGCTTGGAGCCTCGCTCATCCACCTGGCACCTCGGGCTGCCTTTACCCCACACGTACCACCGTTGCAGTCTTCGTCGGGTTGCAACTGCACCCATGCTTTGTCACCCATGAACCTGTGGACTTTAGACCCTTGAGGTCGTGAATTGTATCACCTTTCCAATCTTCACTTTCTCCTAGGGCTCTCAGGTTGCCCAACCCCTCGCTATGAGCGTTACCGACGATGGGCTAAACGACATCTACGAGGCCCTGGATCGCTACAACTGGGACGATGACATCGAGTTCCAGGCCGGTCTGCAGGCCATCATCGGCAGCAACAGCACGCCAGAACAGACGACTGAGCTAGCATTACGGGCGCGGTGTTTCTACTATGCAAGGTACGTTCGGTCCGAGATTTCTACTACTGCATCGATTTCAGCCCAATTGGGACGTGAGAGATGTCTCTGTTTTAAGAACGATGTTTACTAACATCCCACAGAAAGTACAACAAAAGCATCGACTTCAACGCCTACAAAGCCTACCGCAGCGCCCGCAACCGCCC